AAAAACCCTCGCCCTTGCATTAGCGGGCAAAGGCTGCTGATGCCGGGGACTGGCCGGTGCTTGCGGCTCAGGGTTTCACTAACTACCCTACCCCCCAGCCGCTCAGCTCGGCACAAGGGGACCCTGCTCCCTGGCTCCGAGATGAGCTCAGCGTGGGGCCAAAAGCAGCATGACCCATGCCTGAGCCCTGGGGAGTGTGGCCCAGTGGTTAGAGCAGGGAACTGGGCACCAGGACTGCCAGCTCTGCCACTGACCCGCTGTGTGATACTGGGCCAGTCGCATCCCCTGCTCTGTGCCTCAGTTCCCCCACCTGTAAAATGGGGCTAACGATCCCAGCCTCCATTGTAAAGTGATTTTATGACCTAATAATTAAAAGTGCTTGATAAGAATTTAGACCTGTGCGAAGCAAGAGGAAAATGCTGTGACATCAGAATGTCGGCAGTTTACATCCACTGGACCCTCCCCTTGCACAAGGTTCAGAGCCATGGGGAACCAGGCCCATGGAGTTTAACAAAGGGGAGGGGAGCCAGCTCCTCCAGCTGGGGAAGGGGGGTGAGATGAGCTCTCCCCCAGCCAAGGAAGGCAGAGGGGCTAGGAGCTCAGTCACGCAGCTTCTGCTTCTGCTGTGCCTAGCGCCCAGGGAACAGGGTCGTGTCAGCTGGCCGTAAATCTTCCAGCCCTGAATCAATTGGCTATGCACATCATTCAAACAGTGCCGTGCCGGGCAGGGAGAGCATGGACGGGTGGGCAAGAGGGCTCTGGCAAGAGATTGTGTGCCAAGGGGTCTTCTGGGGGGGAGGGAAGAGTCAGGTGGAAAGAAAGAAAGAAAGAAAGAAAGAAAGAAAGAAAGAAAGAAAGAAAAGTGAATGGACAACAGAGGGTGAGAGAAGGAAAAGACAAGGAGGGAAAAGAAGGGGAAAGAAGGAGAAAAGGAAGGAAAAGGAGGAGAGATGGAGGAAAAGGAGGAGAGAGAAGGAGACGACAAGGAAGGAAAAGGAGGAGAGACGGAGGAAAAGGAGGAGAGAGAAGGAGACGACAAGGAGGGAAAAGAAGGGGAGAGAAGGAGAAAAGGAAGGAAAAGGAGGAGAGATGGAGGAAAAGGAGGAGAGAGAAGGAGACGACAAGGAGGGAAAAGAAGGGGAGAGAAGGAGAAAAGGAAGGAAAAGGAGGAACAAGGAAGGAAAAGGAGGAGAGAGAAGGAGACGACAAGGAGGGAAAAGGAGGAGAGACAGAGGAAAAGGAGGAGAGAGAAGGAGACGACAAGGAGGGAAAAGAAGGGGAGAGAAGGAGAAAAGGAAGGAAAAGGAGGAGAGATGGAGGAAAAGGAGGAGAGAGAAGGAGACGACAAGGAGGGAAAAGAAGGGGAGAGAAGGAGAAAAGGAAGGAAAAGGAGGAGAGATGGAGGAAAAGGAGGAGAGAGAAGGAGACGACAAGGAGGGAAAAGAAGGGGAGAGAAGGAGAAAAGGAAGGAAAAGGAGGAGAGATGGAGGAAAAGGAGGAGAGAGAAGGAGACGACAAGGAGGGAAAAGAAGAATGACAGAGGCAGAGATGCGACGGGGAAATAAAAGGACGAAGAAGAAGAAGAAGAAGAAGAGTGGGGGAAGGCGGGGAGCCCATGGGGACCTGGCATGGGACCTGGGGTCCCACCGCCCCTGGGCTGCCTGATGATTGAGCTGGGTGGGCGGTCCTGGGGGGGTCAGCATAGCCGGG